CTGGGAGAGGGTGCTCCTTTTCACTGAGCTGCTGTATTACGTGTTTTGCAGATATCTCCATGGGGCTTGTTACTGCAGTACCTGGAGTTCATTATTCAGAGACAGGCGTTACAGTGTGTTGATGTTACTTCTGAGGCAGAGAGCTTGATTTTAATAGGGAAGCTGTGTAACAGCAGACAAAGAGAGCAGGTACTGACTTGAGGGATGGGAAGGGAAGAGTCATCTGAGGAGGAGGAGCTGAGAGCAGATCTGGGCTGAGAAGCTTAGCAAGCGGGGGATGCTCAAGGGACCAGTGAGGCAGAAGGCCTTTCTGAGTGGCAATGCACCCAGCCGCGGTAGGAGTGCCTGCAGAGGTGAGGTCATGCATGGGTAGGAGAGCAGAGGAGAAGCTGGCACAGCTCAGGGTGGCTGGGAGAAGAGAGTCTCTGTCCCTGGGAGCCTGGGGTGAAGAGAAATGGCACAGAGCAAGCCCGGGGCCTGGGGCTCATTGACTTGTGCAGGCGAGTTCCTAGCAAGGAGGAGAGGTGGTGGGAGACAGTGGGGAGAAAGTGCAATGAAGCCAGGGAGCCTGTGCTTGGGGGGGGTTCAAACACGGTTGCAATTGGGGCTGGCCCGTCCTGTTGGCACAAGTAGCCGCTCCACCACAGTGGGAAAGGTGGGGCTGCCACACCGCGCTCGGGCGAACAGCTTTGTGCTGTTCTCCGGTCACTTCAGCACGTGCAGCGTAGCAGCCGCTGGCAAATAGTGTCTCCCAAGCAGCCGGCTTGGCGATATGAGCCCTGCCTGTCAGTAAGGGGCTGAGCCTGATCAGGTAGATGTGTGCCTGCAGCCATGTAGTGGTCACCTGGTGTTGATGTCGGGGAAGCAGTCTGTGAGGTTGATACCTGTGCATTAAGAGAAAAGCTTTCAGTTTTAGCAGTCTGCTGTGTTTTCAGGGATGGAAACGTCAGGGAAGAAAGTGTTAGGAAACTTAAAACAAGCCTCTTCCGATTCATGTGGCCAAGGTAGGAGGTGTTGAAGGCAGAAGGACAGCAGGCCTACCACAGGAAGCACCTTCTGAAAGCAAGTATTCAGGTTGATGCCAGAAAGTCCATATAGAATCAATCCATCCTAAAACCCTCTGAGCACTGCAGCGTAAGAGCATATCTGACCTCCCCCATCATCGGATTTTCTCCAGCAAGCTCGGTTGTGTGATTTTTGCATGTGTATGTCTGTTTCTTAAATAACTAGCAGCTAAACGTGAAGCTGTCTTTTGTCTCTCTTCATGCTATCTGTTGAAGACTGTAGAAGCTGGTGGCAAGGACTTTTCCAGACCCCTGATGAAGGCAGTGTGGACGCAGCCTGTTAGCATGGGGTACACACACCATGCTCAGAACATTTGCCTGTGGCATTTCTGGGTGGGTGGGTGGGGAGTGCACAGGCAGTCAGCTAGGAGGACCCATGTGTCCTCCTTTCCCCAGTGTTACCTGTGAGGCCGCTGATGCATGTTTTGTTTTTCTTTGTACCAACTTCTCTCCGTGGTGGCTCAGCATTCAGATTTTGCCCTTCTTCCCTGTGGAAGGAAAGTGATGCAGAGTAGAGGACTAGCCTTACCAAAAGCGTCTGGACAACATCTGAGTGGCTCATGCTGCCCTAATACCCAAATATTCAGGGTGAGGAATGAACTTCTCACTCTTGGAAGGTTGCTAGCAAGGATTCAGCCTGACTTAACTGAGGAGAGACCACTGTTCAGGATAAGTTGCCTCCAGTTTGTAGTCTGGGCCTGTGGTTTGGCAGACACAGCTGTTTGCATCACAAGCTCATCTTGCTCCCTCCTCTCATCGTGGGACAATGCTGCTCCATTAAAGGAATCATCAAATCTAAACAAGAGAGTTCAAATCTTGTTGTCTCCCCCCACCTTGGCTTGGAGCTGAGCTTGAAACAGAACCACTTAAGATTTCCTTCAAGCAGAGCCAGACCAGAACCAAAATATTTCTGATTTCTGGTTCAAAGTAATGGCTTGACAAAACAATAGGTGTTTCGTGTTGGGCGCTGTTTTTCACAGGGAGTCTTTGCACTTGCTCTACAGATCCTAATCTGTAGAGCAGTGTCTCCTTGTAGGCAGCTTTCCCTATTCCTACCTTGCTGCCTCCCCCTGTGCTGCGGGTGCAGTAACTCTTGCTCTTGCATTGTGGTGCTGTGCTGCACCTCTTTGGAAACCATCAGGACAGTTCAGGGTAAGGACTGCGCGGGGTAAGCTGCAGCTCAGCTGCTCCTCACAGGAAGAGACTGGCCATCTCTCATTTGGAGGAGAGCTCTGATGAGCTGCTGCACTGCTGGTGCTTTCCCTCAAAATCCTGCTGGTCGGTGTTCCGGGGAGGTGTGCGTTTATACTGCTATGCTGTATGTGGCAGCTGGGAGTTTATAGGGGAAGGATGGGGTGCCATCCAAGGATTTCATCCACCTCTGCTCCCCATCTATTGCGCTGTCCCTGTTGTGTCCTAAACAGGTTCACCCTGCAGCTCCTTGGCTTCATGTGCCAGTGGGAAGGGAGGTGGCAGAGCTGAGGAAGGGAGCGTTGCTGGGCTCACGCAGCAGAGCCAGAGTAGGCTGAGTGCTGTCTCCAGCTGAGCCCTCTGCTATAGGCTTGCTGGCGAGATGTTGCCCTCTTCCATATTAAGTTTTTCATGAGTTGGGTCAGTGTGGTGTTAAAGGGTCAGTTATTGAGCCATTATGGCCTGAGTGGGACTTGAACCAGCAGAGCTTCAGCAATGTCAGACCGGAGCTGAGCTGAGCAAACACTGGCTTGAATTTCTGGTCACCTGCTAAAAATAAGAAAGTGCCTCTGTAAGTGCTGTTTAACAAGCATGTAGTGGACAGGATGTCTGCTGGAGGAGAGTGCCGGCAAAGAGTTTGTGTGGCTAAAAGGGGTGATGTGGAAAAAGCAAATCGACAGGAGAAGTCCAGACAGCAGTGAGGCTGAGACAAGGCGGAGATGGAGGGAGCAGCCAGGATGGGTTGGGAACGCCCACAGCCTGGGACCTAAGGTTTGGGTACGGCCTGTGCGGTTCGTAGACTAGCAGCTCCTGGTCTATGGATGCAGCAATGATTTTAGTGGTCTTCACTATTGCCTTTCCAAGGCCATCATGTCTGCTCTGTACTACGCACTGCTTTGCTTTTTCCCAGGTGGTTCCCTGCACAAGGATAAGGAAGCAACTTGCTAGTTTTCAAAACTTGTTTGCTGTATGTTGTGCAGAGTGCTGTAATAGGAGGCAGCGGCACACTGAGATTTCTGTTTGGGCCGTGGAAAGTTCTTATTTCTACTTTTTTGTGTCAACAAACTTGTGTAATTTGTTGCAAGACGTGGCTTTGCTTTCCATATCCCTAGCACCTGGTATGCCGAGAGGCTCTGGTGTCTTTGTGGTACCTCGCAGATATGAGTAAAACTGATGTTCACTTTGCTGGTAATGCTGCAAATGCAACCAATGGGTCTAGAGCCCTGCAGGAGTGGGTGAGATGCACTGAATTGCAAGTGCGACAGTGGAAAACGTGCCCAGTTTCTTCAGTCCAAGAAGATGCTGATGGTATCTGATTGCTTGTGAGGCTTGTAGGTAAAAGCTTATGAGTTGTTTTACTCTATTCTCCCTCATCAGGCCCAGCAGCCTCAGCAGCAGCCACAGCAGCAGCAGCAGCAGCAAACTTCAAATAAGCGGCCCAGTAACAGTGCTCCCCCACCAACCCAGCTGAATAAGATTAAGTACTCGGGGGGACCCCAGATTGTGAAGAAGGAGCGCCGGCACAGCTCTTCTCGCTTCAATCTGAGCAAAAACCGGGAACTGCAAAAGCTCCCAGCCCTTAAAGGTAAAGAAGCTGTGGGGTGGGGGTGACTGGCATGACAAGCTGCGCCTTCTCCAGGCAGAGTGCGGTGGTGTAAGGGCTCTTCCCAAAGCAACGCTGGCAGTGTCCTGCTAACATTCTGCCAGCAGTGCAGCAGGGATGGCTCTGGGAAAGGTGCTTGGCTTGGCAGCAGGTTGAGAATTGATGGATAGCCTAAAAGAAAAGGAGGATACTCAATGCAAACTTCAGTACTTAGCTTCCCATTTGAATTGATTTAAACCCTCCTGCTTATATGTACTTAGTATTGCCTCAGATTCTTCAGCAGGTTGTGCAGGAAGGTGGTGAAGTGCAGAGACCTTGGTGCAGACTGCCTTTGGTTCCTACAGCCACCAGTTCCTGGGAGAGGTCCAGGCCTCCTCCTCCTCCTCCTCCTCCTTGTGTTTCCATTGCAAATTATGGTAGTGCTATTGAACTTGTCCACATTAGGGCAATTACCCAGCATTAGCAGTTAGTCTACATAATGGTGCAATTAAACATGACTTAAGCGCAGACAAGGAGAAAGCATTTTCAGCAGTCACTCAGCCAGACCTGTTGCTGACATTGCTCACAGAAACAGGCAGACCTTTTAGGAAGGGCGACTGCCTTGCAGCTCAGCAGTCGTTCTGCAAGCAAGAGGTGAGTTAGCCTGATTGGCCTTAGCAACGCATAATTTACAGTGGCAACATATCAAAAAGAGAATGCTTTAATATAGGGTCTCTGCCACCTTGGCCCCTCTCTTCTGGGCTGCTCTCTGGGAGGAGGGTTAGCCTACAGCGTGCTCTACCCATCTCCCTTTGTGACTGTGGGGTGTAGGGCGTGGGTGTCACTGGTCTGTGATGGGAGCTAGTTAAGTGAGTTCCTTTTCCAATGTACCTTGTACTGGGAAGGGATCAATGCTTATCAGTTCAGAAACCATTACCGTGCTTGAAATCGCCTTATGGGATAGTTACTCCAGAGGCCTTGCAATCCCTCTGCCTCCGCTGTCCCATCTCCATAGCAGGGATAACACTGCCTCTCCCTCTTCTCCCACCAGCTCAAGGGGGACTGTGATGGGGGAGGGGGAATGCAGGACAGGGAGCAAACCACGCTGATACCTGGGAAAACCAGGAGGATGTTCTGCCTGTCTCCAAGGACAGATGTCCCTGCTTTCTCTGACAGATGCTCCTCCACATGAACGAGAAGAGCTTTTCATCCAGAAGCTGCGGCAGTGCTGCGTGCTTTTTGACTTCATCTCTGACCCCCTCAGTGACCTGAAGTTCAAAGAGGTGAAGCGAGCAGGTCTCAACGAGATGGTGGAATACATCACACACAACCGTGACGTTGTCACTGAAGCCATCTATCCTGAAGCTGTTATCATGGTAGGGCATGGGGCCAGTACATGCTTGTGTGCCAAAGAAATAGGGACTGTTCAGAAGCACGGGGGGGAGGAGGGGATAGGGATTTGTCAGACAAGAGTGTGACCCCAGTCCTACTCATTCCTTATTACCTGCCCACCCCCAGAAAGAGAAGAAGGGGGGCGTGACAGTGCCTGGTGTAGGGAGAGGTGGAAGCTTTTGTCTCTGGCACAGACTGCGCTTGTGGAGTTCATATGCAGACCCTACAGCCTCTAGGGAGGGATCTGTTTGTGGGCACAGCTATGGCAAATCACAATGTGTTGCTCTGCAGTGAAGGATTTGCTACGGGGAGGACCATCATGAGGTTCAGGGATGTCATTCATGCACCTTTTCACTCACCTCAGTTTTCAGTGAACCTCTTCCGGACACTTCCGCCATCATCCAATCCCACAGGCGCAGAGTTTGACCCTGAGGAAGATGAGCCTACATTAGAGGCTGCCTGGCCGCACCTTCAGGTGAGGAGGAGATCTATATAAAACCATATAGACCCATATAGATCTGGTGAATTTATCTCCAGGAAGTTGAGAGTCCTTGCAGTGCTGGAGCCTGCCAGCCCTGCCGCTGGCTGCTTCCCCAGCCTGCGAGGGTTGCTGGTGTGGGGACGGGGAGAGACCAGGCCTGCCACCCATGGGTCAGAGGTGGCTTACAGGCAATGCAGGCAGCAGGGGTGTCCTGGAAACAGGCTGATGGCTGTGTGCAACATTCACCTGCAGATGGCTGTAGTCCCATGTGGCCCTGAGGTAGGCTGGGAGTGAACACTTTACTGGGAGCGAGGGAGTTGTGCCATATTGCCTATGTAAGAAGCAATTCCCAGCAGTGTTAATGTCCCTCCCGAAGACTCAAGAGCCCTCATGCTCTGGGCTTCAGCAGCATTGGAGACATCACCCCTGTCTGCTTCAGTGCTCCTCTCCTTGCCCAGCTCCCTGGGAGGCACATGGAGGAAGAGGACCTTCATGCCAAAGCAAAGCCTGTGCTGGCACCTGCTAAGGTGTCTCCTGTATGCTGGATGTAATTCAGTTGCGTTAACTGGGAGCAAACATTTGACCAGAAAAGATAGTGAACTGGAGGGGAGGAAGAGGGGAAGGGAGCCAAGGATCTTTTCATTAGGCTGCGTGTCCTGGGAAGTAGACTTTAAGACAAACTAGGTGAAAAGGGTTATGAAAGCAGCAGTGAGCATGGTTTAGCAGAGCTCAGCAGTAGAAGTCAGGAGGTAAGCCTATGGGGGTCTCCCTAGGCACTTGCACAGGGATGTGTTGTCAAGCTGACAAAGGCAGAACAAGAGCCAGGCACTGCAGAATGAAGCAGAAAATACAGAGGAAATAAGGTGCATTCTGCAGCAGTGGTTAATCACTTCTCACTGCTGCAGTTGACATAGGGATATGAGCATCGATAGAAATGGCGTGTCCTCAGCACCAGAGTGCTATGAATGCTAGGAAGCATTTGTTTCTCAGGGTTAAGTCAGCAGCAGCCAGCATGGATTTGTGGCAAGTGTGTGCTGAGTTTTCTGGTCATCACCTGAGTTTTTTCTGTGCTGTTGTCCTTGGCAGCTGGGCCAAGGCATCCTGTGGATGGGTGACCCCATAGCTCCTTCAACTCCATAGTCAGACCTTTGGGATACAGTGCTCTTGTTTGGCGTAGTGGCCCCTCAGAAGCACTAGGCAGGGTCAGCCCTGGAATGGACTCATCCCTTAGGAGGACAGCAGGACCAGAAGTTGCTGTTTCAGCACTGACAGCCTTCTTAAAGCAAGCTGTCCTTTGTTGTCCAAGTGGGACACAGCATGCAGTTCGCATGGCTTAGCAGGGCCAAGCCAATTTGGAGTCAGTCCCCAGAAGGCAGAGGACATAGCATGTTTTCCTGGGGTCCGTTTCATTTCTCTGCTTTTCTGTTCTTCCTTGGTGTGTCTCAAAGGCTTCCAATGAAGCCTGAGCCTTTGCCATCTCCTCTGAAGGTTTCTGTTCTCTATAGAGACGTGGGCTTAACGTGGGAGAAGAGCTTCCCAGGCCTAGTGTCTTCATCTGAGTTGTCTGTTGTCTTTGGCAGGACCTGAGGTGATGAGATCTCATGCAGACTTGGGCAGTTATGTGCCACCAGCCCCCTGCCCATCAGAGCAAGGGCAGCTCAGTTGATCCCACTGGGTGGGGAAACACAGGTTCCTGTGTTTTCTGTGCTCCTGTTCAGGCTTCCCAGCATTTCCCCAAATCCTTAAGGAGAAGGAAAACATTTAAAATCTGAAGTAAACTCTGGTGAGAGGATGGGGGGGATTTCTAAGTGATCTCCTCTTCTCCCCCCGTAGCTGGTGTATGAGTTCTTCCTCCGGTTCCTGGAATCGCCTGACTTTCAACCAAACGTAGCCAAGAAATACATTGACCAGAAGTTTGTACTATCTGTAAGTAATTGTTGCCCCTGCCACTGTGCACCACCTTTCCGAAGGACATGCAGCAGATTTTGGTCAAGGTGTTGTGCAAACAGTCCAGCTTTGTCGGCAGGTGCTTGATGATGTGGGGTTTCTTTTTTCCTCTGTTTAGTCTTGAATGAGTAGCCAGAATTTTCTGTGCAGGGCAAGAGTGTGTGTGAGCTGTAGTCCCTGGAACTCATCACTCATTGTACAGGTGGAGAGGGGCACTGGGGGCCTTGCAGGGGAAATCCGGGAACATGCAGCTTTGTAGAGTGTGCAAGCCATCACTGTGCTTCTGAAGATGAAAGAAAGAAAGAAAGAAGTGTTGATGGTTCCAGCGTGTGACTAGGAGGCTGCATGTTTCAGGGAAGCAACCACTGCACTCAGGGTGCTGAAGGCATCACTCAACTGAAAGAGCCCCTTTTGCCAAGCAGTAGCCGTGCCCAGTGTTGCTGGTAGCTTTGTCCAGATGGGCAGTATGCAGACACTGACTGAATTTCTCTCCCCACAGCTGCTGGATCTCTTTGACAGTGAAGACCCCAGAGAACGAGACTTCCTAAAGACTATTCTGCACAGGATCTACGGGAAGTTCCTGGGTCTGCGAGCATATGTGAGGCGGCAGATCAACAATATATTTTACAGGTGAGATGTTTCTTAGTGCCATTGGCCTAGTGAGTGAGTGGGACAATCCAATGAGATAAATTTGGGGCACTAGGCTGTGATTCTCTCTGATCCAGACTGTGATTAGCTAAGTAACTCAGTTATGTCACACTACTTTAGTAGGGATAACCTACCTGTGCTATACCTGTGCTTAAGAGCAGTGAGGTTGTGATAGCGCTCTCTTCAGCGCACATAGCAAACGTTGGGGCGTGTGAGCTTTAGCTGATCTGGGGGCCATGAATTTATTTGCTTCTATTTCTCACACCTTGCCCTGTCATCTTGGAGTTCTGTTATTTGCTAGGAAACTCCCCATCTCCAGTGTTTTCCTTCCTTTTGCTTATCAAACTGTATCCAGCGTTTGGCAATGACCTCTCATTCTTCTGTTCTCTTTAGGTTCATCTATGAAACAGAGCACCACAATGGGATTGCAGAGCTGCTGGAGATTCTGGGAAGGTGAGGGCACTTTTGGAAGTCCCACAGGGCCCATAGTGAGCGAGACCTCCCAGCTCAGCGTGCTGCATGAGCTGGCAGTGCCTTCCTTCAGCACTTCTTGCAGGAGCCACCTCTTCCAGAGGATCTCAGTCTGATGAAGCACACAGTGAAAGTACTCTCCAGCCTGCCGATAAATGCAGTGGTAGCCTTCTCCTCCCCAGATTTGTCTCCTGTTCTTTTGAGTTTGAGTCCAGTCACACTTGCTGTCTTGCCTCAGCAGGCAGTAAAAGAGAAGAGTTCCTCACAGCCCTGAGAAGCCTTAGCAGCGAGCAGCCTTCTCCATGGCTTCAACTGCCTTTCTGTTTGCAGCCCTCTCTTATGCCGCCATCCTCCTGTTCTGTAAAGTACAAGCCTCGAGGACTGGGCTGCCTCTGTGCTGGCCTTCCCCAGAGGTTCTGCTTAAGTGTGTGTGGGCTCAGCCTGGCACAGGACAGGCCTGGCAGAGCCCAGGCCCCATCAGGGGCATTCCCCTGCCGTGCCTGCTGAGGGAACACTCTCGCTGAGCATGGTATGCAGGTTGGGCCCCAGTGACCACACTTCTTCTGGTGGGTGCTTTCTCAAGTGACTAATGAGAGCTAGGGCAAGCCACTGATTCTTTTGAGGTGAGAGATACTGTGTTTCTGCTGGGTAAAGATGTTAACGAGACTCTTGTTTCTTCTCAGCATAATCAACGGGTTTGCTTTGCCTCTGAAGGAAGAGCACAAGATGTTCCTCATCAGAGTCTTGTTACCACTGCACAAGGTCAAGTCTCTCAGTGTCTACCACCCGCAGGTGAGAAGTGCTTCAAGTTCCCAGGGCAGAATGTGATTCTTGCAAAAGCCGTTGTTCAGGCTTGCTTATAGCTATTCACCGGGCTGGATCACTGTGTTGTACAAAGTTCCTGCTGTGAGATGTTTCGGGCTCTGCACTAGTCCCTTACTGTGGTGGTTCATCCCAGCGTTGCGGTGCCTGGGCCTGTATGTATACATGTGTGCTTTTTGCCACTGGCTAATAGGAGGGTATCCTGCCATTTCCTGCTGACTTAATGCTGTGGCCTGCTTTGCCTTTCTGTGCTGGAAGTTTGTGAAATATTGGGGCCCTGCTGAGAGGTAAAATTCCGAGCTGCAGTCATCAGCCTGTGCGTGTGGTGTGTCAGCTGTTAGTCACTGCTGCGATATGTGGAGAAATCAGTGTGCTGGGTTGCTAGGCTGGTATAGAGATTAATTTCTTGCAATTTAGAATACATAATGGAAGAGTAGAGAAGATCAGGACCCAGGCTAGGAAGTGAAAAAGTATGGGTACTGAGCAGTGATGTCTGTTCTCCGGCCTTGTTTTTTTGGGGCAGGGCTTTGTGGTAGTCAGGTTTGTTCCTTCCCGTATGTGCAGCTGTGTTTGCATTTGAATGTATTAGCTGTGGACTACTCTAGATGGCTCAAGTTTTATCCTTTATGCTGCACAAATTTCCTGAGCTCAGGCCCTGCCTGCTTGGTCTTAGAGCCTTCACTTGCCATCAGAACAACTGGATTTGTTTGGAGCTGCAACTGTCTGCTCATCACACACACTGTGGAGGGCATAATGTGACTTCCAGCCTAGGGTGATGTGGTGGTGGCACTCTAATCTCAGGTATGCTTGAGGAAGCTCTAATCTTGCCATGTTTTCTTTCCTACAGTTGGCGTACTGTGTTGTACAGTTCTTGGAGAAAGACAGCAGCTTGACAGAGCCAGTGAGTAACCTTGTTTAACCTCTGTGTGTCAGTCAAGTCCCAAAAACTTCACGGCTTCCTTAGAGTACGGCAAGGGTGAAAAAAGGCTAAAGAGTCTGGGAGTCAACTGGATTGTTTACTGGGTTTGGCCTGGTACCCTGTGCTAGTCATGTGCAAGCCTTTAGCATTCTCTCCTGAAAGATTCAGGAAGGTGGGCTATAGTCTTCCTTTGTGCTTCGGATCTTGGTGTAGCAGAAGGAACACTATACAAAGCTGTCCTTTCAGGGCAGAGCTTTTAGCTATTGACAGATGCGGCAGACACAAAACACGTGGCCATCTGATATCTGATGGAACCAGCATGAGCTCATGGGGGCCCTGAAATAGTAAGGGTTCACTCCAGACTGCTGGAGTTGGCTGAAAAACCATGGGGATGAGGTTAGGAACCTGGGACACAAAGGTCTACTTAGGCAAGCCACTGTTCCTTCCTGCTCTAGCATCAGTTTCCTACCTCCGTAGTGTTAAGTCACATTGTAGACACATTTGCCTTCAGGATGTAGTGCTGGGAAACAGCAGGTTCTAAAATGTGTGAGCAGTGTAGATGAGGACCTCACATATTCCAGTTACTGGCTGCGCAGACCTGCAGTGTTAACCAGGCTATATGCCGGCTTGGCAGAGGGCGCAAGCAGGAGACAAGCGTTTCTCCACCCGCTGCAGGCCAGGAAATGTCTTCTACAGAGCTAAGCTTCACAGCCTCAAAACAGCAGATGGCCAAAGAATGTGTGCTTGTGTCACTGTAGCAGGGAGCACCAGAAAGTGTGAGCATTTTAATGAGTAATGCTAGCTGAGGTCGTTCTGTTCTCTGGCTGAAATGTGTGCATTCGTGGTGAGCCTGACTGTGCTCGGTGGAAGCTGGTCAGCTGTTATCAGCTTTCTGGCTCCTCAGCTCTGACACCAGCAGTGCTGAAACAGACCTCCCAGCTTTTCCTTGAAATGTGGGTCCTCCATTTCCTGTGTTCCCAAAAGCCTGCTCCGAAACAAACTGCGTAAAGTAGCTTCCTGATCATGCTGAGTACTTCCTGTGGCTGATATCCAGCCCAACAGCCTCCTGCCAAAGCACTTACTGTAGGGTGAGGGAGAAGAAAGAAATAGAAATCTGTCAATATTTCCAAGATTCATTTTGCAGCTTATTCAAATAGTAAAGCTCCATAGCTCGTCAATGCTTCCTGGGTAGTGGCCCCTGGATTAGAGACCCAGGTCTGGTTTGGTGCTTGTGGAAAGCAGTGGGATGACCCAATTTCATTACCTTCAGTGGATGTTGTGTTGGGTCTCAATCAGACATACCAAGGCTGTATGGCCACAGATTGTGTCCTGTTGAAGCATGCTGCTTGTGAAGGTTTTGAATAGACTCCTGAGATGACTGGGGTTATTGAAGTCTTGAAGAATTACAGGGCTTGTGCATCAGCAAGGCTCTGAATGCACTAGGAGATGTTGCCACCAGTGCTGGAAGGAGGCCAGATCACTCACTAGGTCCATACTCACTCAGAGTGGGCATCCCAGAAGCTTGCTCAGCAAGGCTTGACATGGTAGCTCTTGCATTAACAGCAGTCTGAATGACTGCCAGGTGAGCAAGACCTCAGATGTGCTCAGTAATAGCAAAGACAGACTCGACACACCTCGCACCACCTTAGCTGTAGGAGAAATTACGTCTGAGTCACTGAAGCTAACTTTTGCCTGAATGGCAGACCTGAGTAATGACAAACACTGAGGATACTAAACTGTTGGCTTCTCAAGCCTTGTGTTGGTGGAAACAATGCTCAGATGTTTCTAATCTTGCTGTTGCATTGCCCACTACTGTCCCTCCACTGCCGTGACCTTCCTCTCGAGTGCTGGCTTCAGGATCAGGTTGCTGAAGTACACAGTTTGAAAGAGCAACTCCTACCACCAGTTGTATGTGAATCTAGTGTCCACAAAGTTAGCATTTCTGTAAATGCTGTACCAATGGCTCCAACAGAGTGAAGGTCTGCAGGATCTTAGATCCTGCCTTTGACCGTGTCTAGAAGCAGATGGGTAGGGAAGGAAGCAATATTAAAAATAAATAAAATCAAGTGGGATATAGCCCTTCCCCTAGTATATTCTTCCAGTATTGCTTACAGCAATAGTTTACTCGGCCAGAAGTTGCATGTGCATTGTCATATTTAATTATCACCATTAGGTGTAACCTCTATAAACTTGTCTACTCCCTTCTGGAGTCTGTTTGGACTTTGAGTCTCCACAAAGTCTTGCAAGAATGAGCTCCGTAATCCAATTACTTTTGTGTGAAATTGTACTTCCTTTTCCTTGTCCCAAACCCATCCATTGCATTGTTTATTGGGCGCTCCCCAGTGTTCAAGCTCTGCGGTGTATTGAATAATGATTCCTCAGTGATCTTCTCCATAGCATTTCCAATTTTATTAGTTGATCTTCCATGGTTGCTCTGCACCATCTGGCAGCCACTGCCCACTCTGGTTTGAGCCTTCCATGTTAAGCTGTGTTTGGGGAAAAAAGTGGTTCTAAGCTTTGTGCTTGTAGTACAGAATCGTAGCAGCCTGGGCAGTGCTGCTGTCTTGCGTGTACCTTGGCAGAGTTTGGGCTTTTCTCTTCTTTCTTCCCTGGTAATCCACCCTGACTTTCTTAGAAAGTATCTTCTGTTACTTCGTCCCCTCTGCTGTTGTGACCAGACCCTTAAAAATTTATTTCATAGCTGGTGTTAACTTTCAACCTCTAACACTGTCTCTGTACCCTCCCCACTCAGGTGATTGTGGGCTTGCTGAAGTTCTGGCCGAAAACTCACAGTCCCAAGGAGGTGATGTTTTTAAATGAGCTGGAGGAGATCCTGGACGTGATTGAGCCATCTGAGTTTGTGAAAGTTATGGAGCCCTTGTTCAGGCAGTTGGCCAAGTGTGTCTCCAGCCCACACTTCCAGGTGGGTTGCAGCTCAGGGAGGGGTGGGGCACTGGCTTGTGAGGGTGACACCACAGCTTTTGGGCTTGTGTTTGTGGATCAGTGGCACATGGAGGTGTGACCAGGGTGAGTATTGGGGTGACATGTGGTGGGAGGCAGTGAGAACCCTCACCACAACCACAGAGCAAGCTCATCCAAAGAGAAAACAAAGCGGATCGGTGGAGCCCCTCCTGCTGCACTGTGCTGTTCAGCACCATGTGTTGCAGCAGGCTGGAGCTGGAGCAGAGGTGCTCTGCCACTTCCTGTTTTGGCTAGCAAACGTAGAGGAGATCCATCCAGTGTCACCCTGTTGCAGTAAAACCAAGCTGGCTGCAGTTTTGGAGGGAGGCCAGCCAAAGAGACAGTGTGCAGAGAAGGTACTTCGTATTATTCTGGTGTAGGTGGTAAAGAGTGACGTATACTGAAAAAGTGCTACAGTCTGCTTCTTCCTTGTTCCCCCTGAGGGAAGCTGGCTGTAGTACCAGGCTAAAACAATCTCTGTGGCTGGTAGTCTTAGGTTTAAAATGTCCAGGGAGGTAGGACCTGCTAGTAGCTCCTAGCAGATGTTCTTGGCTCACTGGTTTAGGTTGCCATGAAGAGTGCCCAGGAAGAAGATAGCTTGCTGGTGAAACACATGGCTGACCCAGGTATGGGTGGGGTGTTAAACAGTGACATAGCCCTCCCCCAGAGTGAGTGTGACTGCACAGTGAGGCAGACTGGCTTCAGTCTGTGTTTTGGTACAGAAAGGTACAAAGTCATGTGTTTACAAGCCAAAAATGAGGTCAGTCTAGGTCACGTGTGTATGTAAAAGATCACTGTTTCCTGGAAGGGACTGGGGGAGCCTGATGGAAACCAGCTGGTCATGGATTACTGGTGCGGTGATGGGAACCAAAGGACTAACATGACCTTTGGGCGTGGAAGGAGCTACCATAGGGAACTAAAGAGCTTGAACAAAGTAGGGTAAAGGCTGGAGGAGAGGCATCCTGTGCTTGATAGCAGCCCTCATCTGCTGCCAACTCTTTGAAAAACAAGACTGAAAAACCTGGAGAAGGTGCAAACACTTTACAGCCTAAGAAAATTAACCCCAATGGTATCCCATACAGTCAGGCTGAACAGTCTCTGTGTCTGCAGCTTGTCTGAGAGCAAAAATAGGAATTGACTTCTTGGTAAGTCTGAACACCTTGGTGGGGGAGAGTTTTCTCTGAGTGGATTGTGTGTTAATCTAGCAGACAAAGGCTTAACAAGATCTAATAGCTGGAAACCAAAGCTAGGTAAGTGAACACCAGGTGACTTTCCCTTCGTTTACTCATGTGGAACAGTACGTTAAGGGGATATAGTGAGTTCTCCATCATCTGAAATATAAAACTGAGGCTGGATGTCTCTCTTCCTAGGTTTTTAAATCATTCTCAAGCTAGCACTAAATGCAGAAATTAGCCTGGTGATCTGCATTGTTCAGATTTGGGGTTAAATATGAAGAACTGTGGTTGAATCTATCACTATGGAAACTTGTTAGACTTGTTTGTCTTGTTAGAGCAGGATGGCTGCCCCAAGATTTTCCATATTTTCACCCTTACTAAATCAGGGGGATGAATTGTGGGCCTGGTGACTGAAGCATGCTCCAAAGCCCAGAGAGACTCTGTTGTGGGGAAGGCCAGGGAGGAATGGGGGGAATGGAGCTTTACGGAGGACAGTCTGAGGAAACAAAGGAGGCTTGGAGCTAGTCTGAGCTGGGACCTGGAGTGGATGACATGACTGTCCTCAAGTGTTGTGTAAAGGGTGTTGGAGTCATCAAGTATATCGATGGTAGGCTCGCCTAGTCAAGAATGTGAGGTTTTCTCCAGGAAACTGAGAAGTGTCTGGCAGAGGCTAAGGGAAAGAAGGCTGGGCAGCAGGGATGAATGGCCTTGTAGAAGTTGGTGAAGGTCAGCCCTGCTGCCCATGCTGTGGGGAAACATTTGCTCCTCAGCTGGGTGGTAACAAGCTCTGGTCTCAGCACTGCACAGTTTCCCTGTGCACCACAGGTGTTACTGGAAGGATCCTCTCCAAGGGTGGCTTTCTCTCCCACTGCAGGTGGCAGAGCGAGCGCTGTACTATTGGAACAACGAGTATATCATGAGCCTGATCAGCGATAACGCAGCCAAAATTCTCCCCATCATGTTTCCAGCGCTCTACAAGAACTCCAAGAGTCACTGGAACAAGTAGGTCTTTCTGCATGCCCTGGCACTTGCTGTGCATGCAGGATGGCTTGACCTACTGGCAATCTTGGGGCATGCTGCTACAGTGCAATGATGCATGGTGCTCGGTGACACCAGGTGCTGAGCCAGAGGGGTTGTTAGTAATATCAGCATGAAAAAGTGCTGCAGCAGACCACAGTGGCCTGCTTCTGCAATGGGTCAGGCGCCTGCAATGACCCGCCTTGGGGCCTTTGAGTATACCTGGAGTTTGATACCTGCATATCACTAACGCTGCCGGTCTCTTGGAGGTGTGCAGTAGGTTTTCCAGCAAATTTCTGGCTGCTTGTTAACTAATGGTCACCCATATGCCCTCCATGACCAGAGACCTCGGCTAATGCAGTGCCTGACTCCTTGAGTACAGGAAGAACAGAGAAAGCAGAACTAACCGGGCAGATGTCCCATGTCAAATTATCGCCCTCTGTGTCTGATTCCTTGATACTAGTCTGTTTTATGGTTCTCCATCAACTTCCTTTCTTCCAACTGCTTCTTCAATTGATTCCTTACCTGGTTAATTCAAGTTGTAAAACTCACTTCCTTTTAATGAATTAGCTAAAAATACTCAGTCTACAGTCGAGATCCTAAAATCTTCCAGCAAAAACTACAAGAAGACAAAAAAAAGTCATCTTCCCCTATTCTAGAGGGTGGAAAAAAGCAAAATAATTAATTCTAGGGAGGCTGGGTGAGTCCAGAGCTTAGGAGTATACTGTGGTAGCAAAGACAGGGTTGTGAGGTGGAACAGTCAAGGGTGCTCTAAAGACTGGGGTAGACACAGACACGCAGACATGAACGCACACAAACACCCAGATACGCACACATGTGCAGACGGGCACATACATGCATGCACACACATGTATGATGTGTGTGCACATATGCACGTGTGCGTGCAGACAGATGCGCACAGACATGCTCTCACTCAGTGTTACCGCCCCTCCTGATCAGAGTTCAGAAAAGGACTTTACGTTCTTGTCTGAAACCCTTCACCAGTTCTGTCTCCTTCTTGTACCAGTCAAGATTCATGGTTCTGCTGTTTCTGTCTTTTTTCCCTGTCTCCTTCCCAGTGGTATGGCAGAAGAAGTCCTGAAGGTGTTTTCCTCTTATTTCTCCTTGTCTTTGTTTTAGCACTAGCCGCATCTTCTCAGGGCAGGTTGAGTACCAGATTCTCCTCTTTCTTCCCATAGCTCGCCTACTCCAACACTTTGTCAGACAGCCTGCCTAAGTCCAGTAGGGCTGTAGCTCTCTTCTTCATTCCATCTGTAGAGCTGGCAAAGCACAGAGCTCAATCTACTGAGTCTCTCATCTTTTGCCTCTGGGTCAGGTATTTCAGAGACAGCTTCAATACTTGTTTTTATTCCCCAGGAGAGTCCTTGTCCCAGAGAGAGCTCACACACAGTGCAACCTATCCATAAATTGCTGACACAAAGTCGGCTTTCTTCTGTGGTATTCTTTGTGCTGGTTCCCATCTCTACAGGGCTGCTGAATGTCTGTTTTGGGCAGCTCAGTGACAAAGCTCATGACTGGGCAGCCCAAAAAAGTCATTGTGTATATGCGAGGTGAACTGTGGGAGGCACTAAAGCTAGATTAGGTAAAGCCCCCTTGAGAACAGCCCTGAGCAGGTCCCTAACATCCTTCCTTTCCAGCTTCTAACTACAATAATTAAATGTGTGAATGCATATTTTTGCACTCATTAGTCTGACCACAGTAGAGCAGACCTGTGCCAGTGGTCTTCTCTTTCTTCTCCGTCTCTTTCTCCCTGTGCGATAGTCTCTGCTGTGTTTGTGGAGGGGGTTTTCCCATGCTGAGAGCTGGGACTGTGTGAAAATCTTTTGTCACATTGCTGTAGTATATGGATTGCTGCTGCTGTTAGCCCTTGTCTGTGCTAGTGGTGCTAACTCAGGGCTGAGAACCTGGAGGATACCACCATGACTTGTTCTTCTTTCCTCATTTCTTTGCAGGACAATCCATGGGCTGATCTACAACGCACTGAAGCTGTTCATGGAGATGAACCAAAAGCTTTTTGATGACTGCACGCAGCAATACAAGGCAGAGAAGCAGAAGTGAGTAAGAGGTTCTTGCCAAGTAACTTGAGCTCATCCTGGAGTCTCCTTGGGGTACAGTAACAGATGGCAGATGCCAGTAGGCGGAGGGGAAATGGAAAGGTGGTGCAAATCATTTTGTCAAAAAGTAGGATTCCTCAGCAATAACTATGTGTAGGGATGAGAAGAGGTAAAATGTGTGCCCTGATAAAAATCCTTTCAGTTCTGCTGAAGCGGTAGCTTGGAAAAGAGTGACAGAGTTTGCTGGGTCATGAGGAAATAAATTGCAATGTAAAGGATACTCAGCTTTGTAGAGACGCTTATGCTCTGCCTTGGAAATATTTACCAGTTTGTATATGTCGTAGTGACACCAGTGGAATCCTGCTTTAGAAAGACTTTTCTGAAGAGCTTTGCTGCAGTGGGCATAATACATCTTTCATGCCACAGGACGCTTTCAATTTTCCAATAATAAAGATGGAATAATACCTGGAATTTCAAAGAGCAAATGGTGGACATAAAATCTGAGCTCAGCAAGTACTTGTGCCATGATGCTGTAAAGAGGAAAAAACTCCACTTTTTCTGCTTCCTTGTGCTGGTTTTGGTGCTTGTATGACTTGTCTTGGTGAGCTGAGTCAGTTCAGTAAGCTAGAAGGAAACTTTTTTTTTTTCTGTGTCTGTTTTCTGCTGACTTAGTGACATAAAATAGTGCTTCTCATTCCTGGATGAGCCAGGGCTGCCGCAGGGGTGGCAGCGGGGAGAGCAGGGCTAACCCTTGCTGGCAGTGGGGAGCTCTGGGATACATTCAGTTGTTTTGTGAAATAGTAATAAATAACAAAGTTGAGATATGAATCAGAGCTTGGGGATGGGTAACCTGCATATGGAGAAACTAAGGTTTTGTTAACATCTGAATTGGGAGCAAGCAAGTTTTTTTTTTTCCCCATTCTAGGGCATTTGTGAAGCCCACAAATGTCTGCACATATATTTTAAGTCACAGTGACAGCACATTTACTATGAGATCTACCTGGTGTTTCCATCAGGAGCTTTTTCTACCTGTTTAGCTTCTACCCATGCTGACCTGCTGAGAGTGACTGTTCTCAGCATTGGTGTGTGGCTGATGGAGGATTGTTCTGGAAAAGGTCAAAAAGCAGCTCAGAGCTGTCCGAGAAATGGATGGGCAGAGCTGCACTCTTTTCTGCTCATGTTAAGATGTTTTTTTCCCTCTAGTGCCTCTCTGCATAATTAAGCTTCAGAAAACCTTGTGTTGGGTTTTTATAAAGGATATACCTTTTGCTGTCCTAGATAACCAAATTTGGTAAAATGTCAGTTGAAAGCTTGGTGGGCGGGATGTAAAAGTGTCTTTTAGCAGCTGAATCCGAGATGAGTTTACCTATGGTGAGCATGATACAATTCCTCAGCTAAGCGGGATTTCCCTGCCACAGGGACCCAGCTGAAGGAGGCCTTTCTGGGCGAAAACAAGAAGGCTCAACTCTGCTGGCATGTCATTAGCAGCTGTTCCTGGCTTGAGAAGTGTGAAAAGGTTTACCCTCTGAAGGGATGCTGGAGCTGGGAGAGAACGTTGTGAAAAGTCTGTAGGGGCAGGCTGGGAAACAACTAGAAAGGGAAATCAGTGGCAGAAGGGAATGGGGTAGGACAGCAGGCTGGGGGGGAATAGCAACTTGTCTGGACAAGGAGGTAGAAAGGAGGTAGAAACTTTGGGCAGAGGTACAGTGAAGAGCCAGGTTGGGGGGTGGTGGTGGTGGTCATGGTGGTAGTGTTATTCTTAATGTCAATAGATAGTAGGAATAGGATAGGTAAAGGGAACAAGTTAGAGGAGGAGAAGATGGGGGTTTGTTGGGCAAGGGGCCTGGGACTGGACAGGACGTAGGACAATGGTGGGGGGAAAAAGCATGCACTTGGGAAGATGGATTAGAAACCTGGGTTTACTAGAGCAGTATGCCTGAGTTCTTTGCTTAAGTCCATTGTGAAAATGTCATCTTTTCCCTCCATATCTTTAAAATATCCAAGAAATATGAGCAAATCCATGTGCGCTTAACACTGTGGCTACATGTTCTGGAGTGTAATAGAATAAGTCATTGCTGGAATGAATGGGGTTAGAAAAAGCATGTTTTTCTAACAAAAAAAGCATGTGGCAGGAGAAAGTGTTGTTTAGTAGTGTCTCCCCAGTGGAACAAGACCATTTCGTAGCCGAAGAGTCTGCCTCGGAGTTTGGGGTGCCATTCCTGCACTTCCCATACCTGCTCTTCTTTCCGCAGAGCGCTGCGACCTGTTCTGGTGAGCAGCAGGTCCCGTTGCCTCCCTTTCAGTGGACAAGACATGCTGCATCCCCAGCTCATTTCTGCTGCCTCCCTGGCAGAGCTGACTGCAGGCCATGCCTGTGGGTGGACAGTAATGTGGCATTGCAGACAACTGCCATTTTCCTTTCAAACACAGAGACTTAAACCAAGTAGAAATAGTACTTTTTTTTTCTTATAAAACCCTGTGAGGCTGTGATGTCGAGTGCCTCCGGAGTAAAGCACCATGCTGAAGGCTGCCTGTGGGAATGCTGGCTGGATCACTGTAATGCAGGATTGACCTTTAACTGTGTGATGCCTTGCTTTTTCCACAGGACCTCAGCCTTATTCAGTGAGACTGACGAGTTTGAAGCACTGAGGCTTCTTTAGCGTAGACAGAAAAAGGAAAAAAAAAAAAAACCAACCTGTGAAGTGTTTTCCCAATGAGCTGCTAGAGACCTTGTGCTATGAACTAGGAAATAGGACGTGCACATGCGAACAAAGCCAGTAAATGTGAAACAGTGAAAAGGAGAGAGCTTGTAGGTACACAATTAGGCTGCAACCAGATGTTGAGAGGCCTGCTCAGAAAAGGCTTAGCCATGTTTTTAATTAGTTACCATGCCTACAAGTGACATGCCAGCTCAGGCCTGTCACCACTGCACCCCTGGCTGTGCAGCTGCAGCCAAGGCTGGTCATGGAGGGACAGACTCTCCCCGGGACATGTGAGGAGGCTCTCTACTGTTCGGTGCAGATGGACTGACTGCGCCTTGCTAATCTCCCCAGAGATCTTGAACCTGTTTGAATTATCAGAACCCTTCAGAAGACAGTGGGGAGATTGGGGCAGATAGGTAATGTCTTGTCCTGTACGTGCCCTTCTGTAAAAGCGCGAGGGCCTTGAACGCTGCCTTTCAAGAAGTGTGGTGTCAGCATGCCCTGGGGCCACCCTGACACCTGACATCTCTCTGGTAGCAGCTACCTTGCTTCCTTCGGCGTAGGCCACAGCAGCGGGAAGGAGAAGATACCTCCCTATATAGCTCTTCCTTTCCAAATGTCCTGCCAGTGGCTTTCTCATACTGCGAGTAACGCAGAAAAAGGAAAAAAAAAAAAACCAACCTGTGAAGTGTTTTCCCAATGAGCTGCTAGAGACCTTGTGCTATGAACTAGGAAATAGGACGTGCACATGCGAACAAAGCCAGTAAATGTGAAACAGTGAAAAGGAGAGAGCTTGTAGGTACACAATTAGGCTGCAACCAGATGTTGAGAGGCCTGCTCAGAAAAGGCTTAGCCATGTTTTTAATTAGTTACCATGCCTACAAGTGACATGCCAGCTCAGGCCTGTCACCACTGCACCCCTGGCTGTGCAGCTGCAGCCAAGGCTGGTCATGGAGGGACAGACTCTCCCCGGGACATGTGAGGAGGCTCTCTACTGTTCGGTGCAGATGGACTGACTGCGCCTTGCTAATCTCCCCAGAGATCTTGAACCTGTTTGAATTATCAGAACCCTTCAGAAGACAGTGGGGAGATTGGGGCAGATAGGTAATGTCTTGTCCTGTACGTGCCCTTCTGTAAAAGCGCGAGGGCCTTGAACGCTGCCTTTCAAGAAGTGTGGTGTCAGCATGCCCTGGGGCCACCCTGACACCTGACATCTCTCTGGTAGCAGCTACCTTGCTTCCTTCGGCGTAGGCCACAGCAGCGGGAAGGAGAAGATACCTCCCTATATAGCTCTTCCTTTCCAAATGTCCTGCCAGTGGCTTTCTCATACTGCGAGTAACGGGGTCAGGAATGAAGGGAGCTGATGAGGTACGCATCACCTAGAAAGCAGGGCTGGGGGTGCCGCTCTCATAGACTCAGTGCTGTCCTGTGAGGCATTGCTGTTTAGAAAGGTAGGATTTTCCAAATCGTGAATGAGTGGCACTTTCAGATAAACTGCAATGGAAATGTCCTAGTGTAGGAGGTAAAGCCAGGCTGATTGATGAGGTTGGGAGGAAGCTTCCCCTATAGAGGGATGTTGGGCAGCTGTAATACTAGAGTTAAGTCAATGTGGCATCAAAATAAAGACGAAACTTTGTTTCATTCTTTGGAAATACTTGTTTGAAAAGAGTGATCACAGGTGTAAAGCTTTCAGACTTTTAGAAGTGTTGTTCTTAGTAAGACTGAGTATTCTCTTTGCAAGGTGGTCTTTTGCAATATCAGCTGAGCACATGGTGGGTAAACCGGTGGATCTCAAAGTGCGATGAGGAACGGAGGGCTTCCCTGATGCTATTCGGACTGCTTTGGTGATCTGAAAGGAAAGAACGGGTGCTAGAGATACATGGAGCTGAATGACTGGATGAGTGCCCTTGGCTCACTGTGTACCAGACCTGTAATGTGATGTAGTCTGGCCAAAGAAAATGAGCTTTGTTACACCCTTACATGGCATGGCGGTAGACACGATACCGGCAAAGTGGACATTGCTTTGGAGGGGCAGTGGCCTTCATGATGTGAGGGCCTTTGTGGACAGACATATTGGTCTACATTTCCAGTGGCAAGATTGGAGTAATACGTATGTTTCTGTTTACCAGACATTAAAAAGGATTCTGGAGAAATTGGGGATGAGGCAGGAAAGAGCTAGGGAAGATCAGTGCTAACTCCTGGTCCCAGTCCCCTGCAGAGATCTCCAGAGCTCTGTCAGAAAATGAGGTGTGGGTTATTCATTTGGGGTTTGGGTTTTTGGCAGTTTTTTGACCCTATGTTCTCTGATGGAGTAGTCTGCTGCTTGAATGCTTAGCAACTTCATTCTCATTTTTAGCCTACTTTCTTACATATATTTCAAGAGTGTGAGGTGATTACAGAGTATAAGAACTTCTTTAGCAGGGATAGATAGGGCTCTAGAGAGATTAGTAGCTGAGATGAAAGCCAGATAGTTAGTTAAAATCAGAAATAAAGCAGAGATTTTAGTGCAGATGTTTAAAATGTAGAAGAGAATAACAAGGAGTGGTGGGTGCTCACCTCTGTTTGCAGGGAATGTTCACTGCCCTGGGATTTACAGGTGGCCCAGTTGAACGGTCACTTAAGGTCTGTGCCAAAATCTGTGCCAAGTTCAAGAGCTGTGCCTGGGGGTTTGGGCAGCTCTCTGGTGTGTTATGGCCAGAGAGAGAGGGAACTGGACAGTTGAGCCCCAGCTCTGTTGGAAATGGCAGTTTGTCCCTCTGCATCTGTGGGGCACGAGGAAAATGTGTGTTTGACATCCAAACTGGTGTCATTGCTTTACTCCAGAAACCAGTCGCTCTGGTCCGCTCCTGCAGCACAAAGCCAGGGAAAAAGTACCTGTGCAGCCCACTGCTGCCACCCTGTGCTCTGAGGTGAGCGAGGAGTGTGCCTGCCTACCTCCTGCTAGCTGCAGCGTGTCCCCTCTTCTTGCCACATCTCACCTGTAGATAGAATTAGGGGTCTCTGAAAGACAGAGCAACTCTTCCCCTCGCCTGCACTTTTCTGCTGTCTCTTGCTTTTTTCTTCCTGTGAGTGAAAGCTGCACTTTCCCCAGGAGTTCACACTTGTGCGCGCTCTCTCTCTCTCTCTCTCTGCAGGGGAAGGTTCAGGATGAAGGAACGAGAAGAAATGTGGCAGAAAATAGAGGAGCTGGCCCGGCTGAACCCCCAGGTGGGTAACAGCAGGACCTAGGATGAATGAGACAAGAATGTGCTGGGAGTCTTGACCTGCTTCCTCAGCTCATGAGAGCAGGCTCTAGCACCTGATCTCAGTCCTGTGCACACAGCTGCAGCGGTGGTCTGTCCCTCCCAAAACCCAGTGTCCTGGGGGTGCTGGAAGTGTTTTACCAGCCTGGCCCTCTGTAGCACTGACCTCTAAGTAATGCCTTATAGAGAGCATGTATGTGTTTATGAACTCCTCTCTCAGCTGCGGCTGTACATGCAGTGTGCTCAGAGGGCACAGGTAGGAATGGGTAGAAGATGCTCCTTTCCTGTCTGTGTACCTACTGCTACCTTTGCGGGTGCCAGAGAGGGCAGCTGGAAGAAGTGTGCCGTGCTGTGTTAGGATGCTGGGGGGGAAGGCTTGGTGTTGGATGGCGTGCTGACTCTCCAGCTGTCTGTGTTGTCTGCAGTACCCCATGTATTACGCACCTCCACCATTGCCTCCTGTCTGCTGTATGGAAACGGAGACCCCAACTGCGGAGGATATACAGCTACTGAAGAAAACGGTAGAGACGGAGGCTGTGCAGGTGTGTAGGTGACTAGGGTCCTTCCACAATTACTCTCAGACCAGCCAGGACATCAGCATAGTCAGTCCAGGGTCTAGCAGCCAGAACTGGCACTTTCCAAGTGTTCTGAGGGTAAATGCCCCTACTCTTATCCCTGGTCATTAGAGATCAACCTGTAGTCTGAAGAGTGGAGTTTATCTAACCTTCACACTCTGGAAAAAGTGCAAGTGGGACTTTTCTGTGTCCTTTTGGTCTGTGTTTGGCTCTCAGCCTGTTGTGCAGCATGCTGCGGTGTCACCCAGCGTATCCTAGAGTAGTTGGAGTCAGGGAATGGGGAGGCTGGAGAGGTGAAGGGGTTTGCTACTGATCCCTGACTCCTTTGGTTTGTCTGTAGATGCTGAAAGACATTAAGAAGGAGAAAGTTTTGCTGCGCCGGAAATCTGAGCTTCCTCAGGACGTCTACACTATAAAAGCCCTGGAGGCCCACAAGAGAGCAGAAGAGTTTCTCACCTCAAGCCAGGAGGCTCTCTGACGGGCTCAGGAGCTGGCCCAGGAAGCTCTGCCCCATCCTTTTCCCCCAGGGGTCACGGAAATGCACTCAGTTCTCATGTATAAATAAGGAATGAACATGGTGAGCTGTGCCTGTCCTCCACTCCATCTGCACCCCTCCAGGGTAGATCTGGTTTTACGTTATAACTTGTATCTCACCACTGTCATGTCCTCCTGCTTTTCCTCCTTCCTCCTGCTTTTCCACCTTGGATGTGCGTGCGTGAAGGGAGCCTGCCTGACCTGCGATTGTATCAGCCCAGGCAGGAGTCACTTCATTTCCAGCTGCCGCCTGGTTCTTACTCTGCCTGGGAGCCAGAGCCTTGCTGCCCTGCAACACAGGCTCTGTGTTGGCCAGAGACTGCCGCGCGTGGCTCAGCATGCTGCTGTAAGCCCCAAGTGCCCACCTCTGCCATGCCTGCCCCCGTGCTGCCTGTGCAGCCAAGCCCTGCGGCGGTCAGAGGTCAGGCTGAGCTCAGGGCAGGAGCGTGTGGCAGAGTTTGTGGGGGCTCTGCTGCCTCTCCGCCCTGCCTTGGGGTGCAGCTCCGCAGCTGGAGGGTCTCGCGTACAGCGGAGGAGATGTTCGCTTCCACCTTTCTTTTGCTTCAAGCCCCTTGTTCTGTTCCCCTGTCAGTGGAGTGGGGGTTCAGTGCTTCGCCACCCCCAGTAAAGCTGGGTGCAAGCACTACATACTATTGCAGCCCTCCCTTTAGAGCATCCTTAGAAGCTCTCTTGTGGGAAAGTGAATTCCTTCAGCTGTTTGTGTTGGTCCGTGCTGACTTGTCTCCATCCCGATGTCTTGGGTTAATCGTGGGCCCAGAATTAACTTCCCGCTTTGTAGCAGGTGTCAGCCACTGACTTCTGCTTTCTTCCTCTACCTGCTCAATTAAAATACTCCTGCAGCTCTCCCTTTGTTGCTGTATCCCATCCTTAGCTCTGCAGTGGCCAGGGTTTCTAGGAAGCTTGTGCTGCTAAAGTTATTTCTGCAAACTAGTGGAAGCAATGGATACACGTTATGGGGCCAAGCTGAGTTTCTGAGTGTTCAGTTGTCTCCTCTTTATGATCAACAGCTAGGTGCTACTGCTGAATTGCTTCCGTGGGTGCTCTGAGCAAAGTTCGCCTCGCCCTGTTACTTTGGCACCTGCTGTGGCCTGAGGCCCTTGTTAGTTATCATATGGTGCATCAGGGACTTGTGCTAATTTAGCATTTAGAGCGCACTTGCTGATAGCCCAGGGGGTTGCGCAGCACTTGAGTGCTACTGTGATCCAGCTTTCTCCCATGCCTTCTGTGGTGCAGATTCAGTGCCAGGCCAAGGTGCCACCTTAGAGAGGCTGGCTTGTGATAGAAAAGGGAGTCTTCCTTGCTTCTTACCTGCTGCGCTTGCTTTCTTGATACATAAGCTTAAGTGGGTTTGCAGTAGCGCAGGGAGCTTACGGGGTCGGTGCTAGTCTGACACTGCTTTGCAACATCATGGGATGTTGCAGAAGGTCCTGGTGTATCTGCTTGTCCTCACCAGTAAACCATTCCCAGGTCAGAGGTTCATCCCCTCTAATCTTACTGCTGGTGTGCAGCACATCTTTCCTCCAACCCAAACTAAGCTGTTTTTCCCCTGTGTATCCTGTACCCCCTGCCCTGTTTAGCTCTCTTTCAGTTCGGCCCTCAATAGGCATGCCACCATCTCTTAGGAGCAGCTGGCAAACGTGAGTATGTGCGAGATCACCCACAGTCACGCAGGACCCCGCCTCCCCTCCACTTCATGCGGTGGGCCAGTTCATCAGAAGACTTATGAAACACCTCAGGGAGGTTATTGCTTATTTTGAACGTTAGTCCGAACTCATGGTCAGCTGCCAATCAATTACCTCACGCCTGCACAGCATGTAGACGTGCACTGGGTGATGCCGGATGATGCACAGGAGCAGCAGGCATCTCGGGGCACAGCGGAGACGAGGACGGCCGAGCGCCACCCGCAGCAGGGCTCTGGCTGGGGAGGATGTTTCTTCCCGTTGCAGTACAGGCTTTCCAACTTGTCCGCTTAGTGTTGTGTTATAAGCCGCCACCTCACTTTTAGAGTGCTACGGCATGTGTGTGCCCTCACTCGAGCCTGCATGCTGCTAGGCAGTGGCTGCCTTTCCCTGCTGCAGGCTGTTCTGCCTGCTGAAGGAAGAGAGACTTCTGGTGCACAGAGGCTGTCGCGGTCCTGCAGATGGTCTGTCTCTGCCGGCAGTCCCCGAGCATGGCCAGAGGAATGCTGCCGGGGTTGTGCCACATGCAGGGGCAGGACTGCAACGCATCACGACTGCGTGCTGTACGGCTTCAATGTTCTCATAGCTTTGTGTGTCTTGTTCAGGGTCAGGGAACTTATGCTTAGTACCTTCACATTGCCATTAGTTTGCTGCCTATTCATTCCAGTGTCCTGGACATCTAAGAAGGGGACCATGTGAGAAAGCGGGGAGTGTGTTCACCCCCCTCTGCCACACGTACGGCTCATACGCAGACCTGCGTCTGCCACGCTACAGCTGCCCCTTGCTCAACACTTGGTTTCTAGCATTAGTGCTGCTCATTTCTGCCTATGCCTTTCCCCACATCAGCCAAATGGACAGAACTGGAGCTGCCTCTTCCACTTCACCTAGCTCCCTCCTCCCGAGGGAACAAGCAAAATTAACTACTGCATTCACCCCCTGGACACAAGTATTAAGCTGCTTACAGTTCATATGTACATATGGTGTACTTTATTTTCAGTAGAGCATTACATAGTTGAAAGTGTTGGATTTTGTACAGATGTCCCTGTATGTACAGAACTAAATAAAACCGATCTCTTGGAAAGACATGTTGGACTCCACCTCTGATATTCCAACACGCAGCCCCTGTCCTGGGAGGAGGGGCCCTAGTGTGGAGAGGGACTTCTCCAGCACTGACAGCACAGGGACAAATCCAGTGTTCGTCCCAAGGGAATCTGGGCAAAGCCGGCCAAGCCCCCTCCCTCCACACGCACACAGGTATGGAAACCGGTCGGGCTCCTCGGAGGCAGAGGAAGCCAACACAAGGACATCACAGTGACTTACGCACCAGCCAGAACCACGAAAGAGGAGCAGGAAGGGAAGTCGGACAATGTCGGTGGGAGAAACTGGAAGGTCAGTGCCGGCAAGTCCCGTCACCACCCGGCTCCGAGGCAGCGGGCGCTTGCCTCGCCTGCGCGGCGGAGGGAGGGCTGGGGTTAGCAGCCCCCACGCCGCAGCTTGGCCCTCACTTCCACTCGGGCCTGGGGCCACTGAGGCTCTGACGGGCTTGCAGTGTGCGCTGCACCACGTCCTTCCACTGGTCCTCCGAGATCTGGCTGGCCCACGCGGGGATGCCCAGGCTGGGAAGCTTCACGCTGGCCATCGTCCTCTTCACCAGCTCCACATGCTCTGGGAACAGAGAGGGCATGAGACCGCGGCCGAGCGCCGCGCAGGGCGGCCGGGAGGGCCCGGCCGGAGACGCTGTTACCTGCATCCATGGGGATAGAGCTGCGGCTG